GAAACTGGTTTTGGGTGGCCAGAACTTTGTAGGCATCGGCGGATCTAGGGCTGGGCCAACCCAGGCCACGGCCCAGCCATCCGGCGGATCCAGAGCTAATATAGAGCTTATAAATTTTTTGATTTTAGGTATTCGGCCTAGTATTATTTAATGGTCGGTCGAGTGCTATTTGATAATCAATTTTGTGTAGTTAGAAAAATGGTCTAGATGAACATATCCAAATCATTACTCTCAATTTAGTCTAGGAATTTTAGCCCGAATGATTTTCATTTGAAAATAACAATGAAATCTAAAAGTCTAAAATGTAAAAGAGTGTATAAAGTTTCATTGAAAAAGAAAATCCTCTAAACAAATTGATTTGTTGGTTGATTCGTCTAGTGTTGACCTTGACCGTTTCATCGGCTATCATGGAGAGAACATTTTAAGCAATGAAATATGTTAAAACTAATTTGCGCAACAAAATGCTAAGAATTTCTCGTTGATTGCTTAGCTATTTTCTTTGTGAGAGAGTATGCTATTGATATTGATGGAGATTCTATTATTATTGATGGATTTGCCAAATTAAAAAACCTTCTATTACAATTGGCATTGTAATGAATGAAAACTATTGTTATCATATATTTTTGGGTAAATGCAATTTATTAGTCAAACCTTTTAGACTTTCCAAATTATTAGGCAAACTTTTCGAAATACAAAATATTAGCTAAATCTTTTGTAACGCATCAAAATATTAGTCATTTGTCTGTTACCGTTGGTAATTTTGTAACTATTTTTTTTATTTGAAATATGAAAATTTTAAAATGTTGACTATTTTTGTTTACGGTATATAATATTATATATTGAAATGCGGCTCAATGCTTTACTGCGTTCTGGATTCGCCGCTGTTTGTAGGAGTTTGACTCAGACACCAAAATTACTCCTTGAATGGGGGAACCACATCCAACAACAATCAAAACTTACCTTCGATAGGAAGAGAATGTTTCAGCCTTTCAGGGGAGAGCACCAAGTTTTTGGATCTTCCAACGTACTTCTGTATCTACTAACGACAATCAAATCATATTGCTAATAAACCCTTTTCTTTTCCAGGCTATCACCCAAATTATCATTCGGTTGAGATGAGAAATCTCACCCGCGCTTCGCTACTCTGTTTTCGGTTGCTACATTATACAAAAGAATTCTAACCCAAAGATGCAAACTTAACTTCACGATGTTCCCTTTTTTAAGTGATCGTATCTTATTCATTTCGAGTTGGATTTCAAATTGTTTTGCACAGAAAAAAACCATATTAGTTATCAACTATAAGATAACATTTATTTTGATATATTTTTGCAAAAAAACAATAATTGTGGTTTATACGTGTACACAATTTTTATGTATGTAAAGTTATGTATAACGTGTAAAGAATTCTATACAACTTGTATCTACTAAACCGCTGATATAAGATTTTTTCTATTCAAAACATAATTATATGTACAAAAAGCTCAAAACCCTTATATATATAATTTTGTGTCAAAATGGCACAAGTATACAAGATTTACCTTTGAAAAATATGTCCCTCCACGTCCTATTTTGTAAGCCTTACAAATGGTTTGAAATAATTTAAAAGATTGTAGCAGTTTGGAATGTCCTAATTTTTTGCCCGGTAAATCTCGGTTTTTCTAGTTGGGTTCGACCAATATTTGTGATGTGCGAAGTTTTCTATTGCTCGAAGGACAATGAGGGCAGAGATATGAATGACAAGGAAAAGAAATAAAACAACAAAACATGAAAAATGGTGATGTACATTTATTTAATTTTTTCGCTAGTTGGGCATAACAATAACGAATCCCAATTCCAAATGATTTTCCCGATTTTAGCAGCATGAGTTTTTCCTTCAAAAATAACCAGCTCGATCGGACTCTCATCGGTCACTAGAATCCGAGAAGTGCAGGCTTTGAAAAGTCAAGCAAACAAAGACTCGTATGAAGAACATGCATCAAAGAGATAAGAACGAATTTCCAGTTCTTGTCCGCAAAAGGTACAGTGAGCATGACCATCACTTCAGCATCTTATCACATGTGTTTATATGGTTTTCCAATATAAATCAGGTGATGAACTGATTACAAATCTGATAGTTTACGAAACAAAAGGAAAACAACACATGATTTATGTGGTTTTCTTATTCCGTATGAACAAGGCTAGTCCACGATAAAAGCATATATAGATCTTATTCAAGTGAGTTCGCCAATTCCCAAAGTCTACATATACGTAAATTACATTTACGTAACTTAATTACATACATTGACTTACATCCCTAAATTACATTTACATAACTTAACAAATTTCAATAGCAACTATATAATAATAATTAATAGAAAAAAAAATCCATTCTCGATTTATAGAGCAAATTGTGGTATAATTTTAGAATATGGACACCTTGTCAACTACATCTATTACTTATGCTCATCCCTTTCAATAATATATGCAGAAATCATTAATTTCGTTGCTCCTTCGTAATTAGGTCAATGTTAAAACAATTTTCCAATACTCTTATAGTTATGAACTATAACATGTAAAACAAAGCATAACGGTGGAATTAGATAAGGTAATGATTTCAATAGCAATAGACTACCCGATTGGTTAAACTGGTTTGGCATATTGAGATGGTGGACTCGTCTCGATCTTCTCATGCACAAGCAAATTCGACTATGAAAGTGCAAATTTTGTATAGTAAAGTCCAACAAAAACACAATTTAAACTTTACTCGACCAAGTAGTCGTTATGATGTACTCAAACGAGTTTTCTGCCGATTCGATTAAGTCAGCCGAGATCGAGCAAGCCTTCCAACCACGCCCAAAACAATTTGTTGCATTCACTACCATCTCAAGCATAACAATAATCTTTGTACCAGAACTCAGGACTATTGAACTATAACCTAATCACAAGTAGCACTCATCTCTCTGTCAAGTAAATGGAAAATAAAACAAAGTAGTAACTAGTAATCAAATCAATTGTGGAAAAAAGAATTCATGTGAAAACTTCGGGGTCCGTGTTCCGTTGCTATAATAATTCAGGGAATCTATCTATTTAGAGGTTGGGAAGAAAATCCAAAGAAGTTTGAAACGGGGGAAAGTGATATACGTGGCTGCGACATTTGGACCAAGCAAAGGGTTAGGGACTGACGGTGACCAGTTGGTGGTGGGCTAATTCTGACCTCGTGGGTGTGGCCGCCGGGGGAGGGGACCATCAGATTTTTTTTCTCCCCTCAGAGTTAATGCAAAAACATCTTTGCTGGAATTGGCCCCATAAATCTTTGTTTCACCTTTCGCAGCAGCTGAATGCTTTCTCAATTCTCGCCCATCGGTTTTGCCGTTTTCCGAAGGAGAATGGCGCCGGAGCTTAGCCTCTGTGACTGTGAAGACTATGTTATTCCTCTCCGATTCGCCTCAGGATCGTACGGAGTCGGGACGTAACCTTCTATGCGCCAGCCAACTATTATGCCTCTGTCGGGCTGCCATAACATCTCGTAAATTGATTTCTGATTTAGAAATTTATTGAAGTGTGGGGCATAGTGGCAAGTAGCAACTTATATTTGTGCATTACTTTCTGGATCCCGGAATCGGATTCTCACCATAGCCTTATGGTCAATAACCATGTATAAACTGTCAAATCAGCTCCACGTCATCATTTATGGAAGATTTCTAACATTTTCCTATCTAAATTTTAACGGGCTATATTCTTTTAGCGTTTTACGTCAGACTTTTTTATTACACAAATAAAACAGATCAATTATGTTTTTCGAAATGATATTCACTTTGATATATTTTTGGAATAAAAAAATTAAGACATTTAGTATCAATCTATACCATAATGGTATTGTTTTACATAAAAGCATACCACGTGGTATATGGAAGTATATCATGGTGGTATGAACATAACAGACTATAGAATGGTTGAATACATGCTAGTAGGAATATACTAATTGTCATTTACAACTTTCAACATTGTGTACCACAAGATACAACCTCTATACTAGGATGGTATGAGGTGTTAATTTTTTGGTCCAGTATTCCCCCCAGTAATTTATAGATCCTATAGATCATGATGAACTAATTCCTTCTGCGCAAATTTTTTTAAAATCGACTTAAAAAAGAAGGAGATACCATATGATATGGAGGTGGTAACAAGTGGTTTGAATTTTTTTCACGAAATATATTGAAAATATATCTCATTTGGTAGATCATAACGAAGTAGTTCCAAGTGGTTTTAATTTCCAACTATTAGATTTGGACCCTTCTGAGCCCATTTTAAATTAAGAGCCTAGATTTAGTTATCTAAGGGTGCATAACTTGAGCCTCCATCAAGAGCGAGTGGATCTCATTGGCACTAATATGTTTGGTTATTCATGCATAATTTTTTCAATTTAATTTAATGGGTTATATATATATTTAAGTCATAATTAAAATCTATTTTCACAAAATAATCATATTAATTGTGGGTTTCAAAATGAATTCACTTTGATATATTTTGAAACAAAAAAATTGTGAAATATATTATCAATCTATACCACGATGATAACGTTTGACAACACATAAAATTATACTACCATTATAATATGAATATACCATAGTAAAAAATAATTGTATACAAAATGATAGAAATATACTAATCACCATTTACCATCGGCCCTACTATCAGTTATCACCATGTATCAGAGTGCTATATTTGCTCCTAAACCCCCCCCTCCCCCCACAATTTAGGTCACAAAGTCAACAGTAATAATATTCAAGTAATGAGCTCCATAAGTTCACTGTAAATTTATCTTGTTCAATCCGAACAGAGATACCATGTAAACCGTGTGTCGTGCATATTCTCTCCGCATTTTACTTTTGTACAAGTTTCAGATCCATAATCGATAAAATTTCATTGCAAATCCTTCATGTTTCGAATCAAAGAATCAAGAACTAAGTTAGCATATTAGTGAATTCAAGGTAGCCGTGCCGACTCTCTTGTATATACTTTTCCAACCAAACGGAATAATTAAGTAGATCCTCATACTCACCTAACAACAGAAATTCACTCATTATGTAAATGCCAAGAAGGCTATAGGCTTCATCGCCAATACTCATATATATATATGTAAAGAGTTTAAATTACTACACACTCATGATCCTGTCCTCGCAACAAATTGATTTACAAGAACAAGTACCATGATAAGAAAGATTACAAAACCCTCTATCGAAGAGGGCAAAAAGGGTCGTCGGGGAAAAAAAGGTGGGCAGAAGTCCTCTCTTTTAATTAGCGAAATTGAACCCGGGAAAGCAGGACAAAGCTAGAAAAGTCGTCGGATTTTTCGGATGGGAGAAAACCGCAGCGGCGTCACAATTAATGAGAAGTCGTCAAATTTTGATGCATCATGCATATCAAGAAGAAGAAGCAGCAGCAGCAGCCGGCGGTACGTTGGGAATCCCTTGGCGTTGGAGCTCCACCAATACGCTGTCGACAGCTGGAGGTTTCAGTCCTAGCGGAAGCGGCAGCCACGGCTTCGATAAAACATCTCCGATGGCTGCGTCTATGCTCTCTTTCGACTGTCGTCATACGTTCATTATTATATATCAATAGTTATTCTAGAAAGAAAAAAAATAAAAGAAAGAAAGAAAAGGAGATGCCATGGTAGTAGCTAATAATGAATTACCGGTTGGACGTCGAATAGATGATTCGGGCCGGACCCGGGTTGCGGTGGACGCTGCTGCAGCTGCCCGCCGATCCCAGCCGATTCTGCTTTGTACATGGAATGGGACGGCGGGAGGATGCCGGCAACTGGTGTCGCCGGGAATCTCTGCGAACACATATTATTGCATGCACGAACACGCACAGTTAAAAATTGGATCCGTAAAATGCGTCACACACGAACATACAAACATTTGATATAGGGTGGTTTCTATCAGTATCAGGTAAATTTAGAGTATCAGATATTTTGGATAACAAACTCTATCTCAATTCTGAATTAATCGAGATTTGGGAAAATGATACTTACCCTAACTCTCGCAACGAGTGACCACTAGGTTTTAATTATTTAAATCATATATATCTCAAACACTAAGATGACAGCATATGCTTTGTCAGATGTATTTCAACAAATCATGATTGTCGATTATCACTTCTAATTAAAGATTGATCTTGAGATTTATAGAATGAAGATCTATATATATATATTTTCATCTTTAAGCAATTCAAGGTTTACATATCGGTCTCTTATTTACAGTATGTCCATACACTTTTTAATTATATATATTTGCTTTTACATAAAATAAAATATGCATTAGAAATTCTTGCCAGAATTTAACTTATTGGAAGCAAATAATGGTTGCCATGGCAACATGTTGGAATGCAGACAAATGTTGGAAGGAAAGGCTGCAACTGCAAAAAAGGACGGGAAAAGAGAGAAGGAATGATTGAATGGTAGTAGTAGCGTTTATAGCTTACCGTTGGTGGAAGTACTTGCTGCGGAAAACATGGCGTCCCCGGGGTCAGTCCAACTCCGGCTCCTGCTGCTGCTGCTGCTGCTGGCACCTACAATATCCCACAAACCAACACCGGCCACTGCGTTACTTACCGAAATTTCAAGTACTGACACTGTTATCACTTCTTTTTTTTTTGTAATAATTATTTGATTCAAGGGGGTTTTGTTTAATTACTCGTTGGTGATGCCAATACAAAGGATCCACCGCCGCGGGAGGAGGAGGAGGATGAGTCCAGGAGGGATGATGATGATGATGAGGAGGAGGAGGAGGTAGATGTTTAGGCCACATGTGGATTAAGGATTGATCCATCGACGGATGGCCCCACACATGCAACGGCCTGACCAAATGGTGCAGTTGAGGAACATGAGGAGGAGGAGGAGGAGGAGGAGGAGTCGCCGCCGGTGGAGGAAACCCCATCATCGGTGCATGCCACGCCTGCTTCTGGTGCCCGTTCATCGTCACGTCTCTCTTCCCCCCTGCTCCCCCGCCGCCGCCGTAGACTTGGCGCCTCTGGGTCCAGGTCGCCGCCTCCGCTTCACGAGCTAGTACATGCTTCCGGTGTGACCTATATTTCTACACAACCCAAGAAAATAAATAAATAAATAAATTATGTTTGGAATTTATAGATAAAGAGAGAAAGAGGCGCAAGAGAAGAGAAGAGTAGGGACCTGGAGGTGGCTGGCGACGTTGTGGCGGGTGAGGCAGTCGATTCCCATCAGCTCCAAGATTCTTGAAGGCACCGCCTTATCCACCCCGAGCTGCTCCACTGCCTGCACAAACCTTCTGTGCAGCTCCGGCGTCCAATCCACCTTCACATATATAACCATCCAAGTCAAATCTTAGAACCGAGGAATCGAGAATGTAAGAAAGTGCAAGAAACATACAGATTTACATATTTTGCTAATACGCGATGTATGTTAGTACGAGTCAGAACATGAATAACAAACAATCCAATCTACAAATTAGACATAAGAAATCTATCCAATCTACACATCTCTCCCACACCTCTCTTTACTGGCTTTCTCTTCATTTCATTTCATTTTGATTTGTTTTGTGTGTAGATCCAAGAAGAAACCACCCAAAACACAGAGAGAGAGAGAGAGAGATGAGACACAATGGAATGGATAACCCACGCTCCCCCCAAGACTCCCGTGACCCATTTTTTTGGCATTTCTCTTCATATGAATTATTATTCATGCACGAAATTAAACCTAACTAACTAAATCAATAGCTATGCTTGATAAATTAGATTACTATGTTGGTCATTAAGTACCTTCACTTTTCTCTTCCCGAGATTGCCCTTACTGCTAATCCCTTGTGTCGACGAAGTGAACGGCGCCGTAGTGGACTTCCTCCCGGCCTTCTCACCTTCTCTTCTCACACTCTTACTCGCCGGAGCCGGTGGATTCAACACCACCGACGACGAGGGAGACGCCGACCCTCCGCTATCCTCTCCTCCGGATCCGGAAACCTCCTCCTCCTCCCTCGGACGCTTGCAGCTCTTCTTACTACTACTATACTGCTCGCAGCCGTCCTCGTCGACAACGATAACGAAATCATCGACGGGAGGCGTGGTGTTGGTGGTAGTGGTAGTACTCGTCCCGCCATGGATTTCAGACTCATCGACGGCGGAGAAGTCGGCGAGAATCTCCAGATCGGGGAGGACGTCGCCGACGGCGAAGAGATCGTCGAAATCGATGCTCTCGAGCAGCAAGCTGCTGTTCCCGTCCGAGAAATCAGGGATGAACTGATCCTCCTCCGCCGCCGCCGCATCGTCCGCGTAGTAGTCGTTCCCTTCCACCTTACCAACTTGCTGGCAGCTCCCATGATGGACGTCTCTCAAAGGCGCCGCCACTGATGACACAGCCAGCATGAATTTAACTAGAACGGGGTAATTAATTAAATAGTAATTAATCCCCCTCTCCAACGAACTATATATAGTAAGGCGAATTAGAGTACTGCCTTAGTGGTGTAATATATATATATATTCTATAATATTTGCATGGAAGCAATATAGAAGAGAGAAGAGGAAGGAGAGAGCTTGTGGGTTTGTTCTATAGCTGGGCTATGGCGAGCGAGCTCGTGTTGCAGTGACTAGTGGGTATGATTTTTTCTTCTTCTTGTAAATATATGTTTGTTGAAGAAGGAGAGTAGGAAGCTGTAAGAGGGTATAGCTAGCTAGTGGGAAGGAGAGAGGTTGGATGTGAACCACAACTTGGGGAGAGTTTTGTGCGTTTCTGCGATTGAGAGAGATGTGTGAGTGAGTGAGTGAGTGAGTGTTGGTTTTGTTTTGACGTTCTTGTTTTCTTTGTTCTTAAGCGTTATAGCTCTCTCTCTCTCTCTCTCTGCGGTCTCACTGTCTACGCCTGTGGGTAGTGGCTGGCCGATCCAAGACATATAATTGTAGCGATTTTTTTTTTAAATTTTCATTTTTTTTAAATTTTGTTTTATATACTATATATTATATTACTGTAGAAGGGTTTGTGGATGGCCTTTTTTGATGAATTGAAAAATCTGGGAAAGTGCGAGAGGGTGATGATGATCCTCTTTTTCTTGCGTTCATGATTTCTAGATACAAGACAAAGATTGGAGTCTCTGTTTTCTATTGGAGCGCTCCACACACACTCCCCATTCCACACAGATTATTACTGAATGTGAATCATATACGTATCTGCACATATATATATAATATTGATGTGTAGCATTTGCACATTAGTTTGGCTTCTTTTTCCTGATATTGGTTTTTTTGTTTCTTTCATGGTGTGTAGCCTTTGAAAAATAGTTAACCATTGTTTGTTAATTGTTAGGCTGTGAATGAGTCAGAACGAAAACTTGTTCACTACGGTTACTAATGTTAACTTATATAGTTCAAGTATCATTATGTAATTGTACCAGCTCACTTGAATCTAGGGTTTGTTCTAGAAAACCTATAAATATGTATGGCCACATCCTATAGAGTAGAGACTAACGCGAATAAGAAAGACATTGGAGAGCTTTGCCTCTCTCGTGGACTAGTCCCGATTCTCAGGGAAACCATGTTAAATCGTTGTGCTCTTTATATATTCCGTAGGTATAATTGATATGATATCAGAGCATTGATCCGTTGGGTCTTCCTCTCGTCGCCATGCATTCGTTTGCTTTCTGTAGGTATTTGGTTGACACGCTACTGTTTTCGGAGGATCCTTTTGTTCGAGAATTTGGCTGTTTCTTCTTGATGTTGGTGATATGGATTCCACAAAGCTTGACTCGGTTGCAATCAAGTTCAATGGTAAGAATTTTCTGTTGTGGGAATTTCATTTTAGGAACTTCGTTGCTGGTAAGCGTATGCTTGGTATTCTGTTGGGCTAGGTCAAGCCTCCTGTAGTTGATGCGGTAGGAAAAGATCATGAGGACTGGGCACTAGTGAACTTGTAGCTTATCACATGAATGGCTTCTAGCATCGATGTACCTACTGCCTTAGGGTTACGTCGTTCTGCCACTGCTGCCGAGATGTGGCGGCATATTGTTGGAACTCATTCTCAGAATAACGCCTCACATTAATATGAATTCGAAATTGAGATCCGCCGCTGGGCTTAGGGAGATCGCGACATTCACAATTATTATCAGGCGAGTCTCCATCTTTGGACTGAGTATGATATGTTAACTGCTTCATTTGTCACAGGTGCTGAATCGGCAGCTATCATTAAGGAACGAAGTCGCACCAGAGTCATGCAATTTTTCTCTAAACCTCGTCCTGAATTTGAGCCCATCCATGCTACTCTCATTCATTGCGGCATTACAACTTTGGATGAAGTTCTGTCGGAGTTCGTCCGGGAGGAGACACGACTTCGAAGTCAGTCCCAGATTAGTGGTTCACAATCTACTAAGACCACCTTGCCGGTCAATCATTCTGGTGCTCCACGGACACAGTCCAATCGACCTCCATCCGGGGAGGTAACTTGTCATTTTTGTCGTGAGGTCGGACATTATCAGATTCATTACAAGAAGAAGAATTTTTGTCACTGCTGTAAGAAGCCTGGCCTACTTTACTTCGTCGGGGCAAGGTGCGCAATTTGCATGCCTCCAGTACGTCAGGCTTTGGGTCTTCTTTTACTGTCTAGGATCTTCCTCAGTCATAGCCTGCGGGTTCGTCGCAGTTCTCTCCTGACTTGATTCACCGTCATGTTCAAGAGGGTCTCCCTGGTGCTCTTACCTCTGCCTTCTCTACTGGTGCCGCTCCAGGTAATTCTTTCCGTTGGCTTCTTGATTCAACCGCTTTTAATCACATGACCCCAGCTCGTACAACTTTCGCTCATCTTCGACCTTCGTCTCAAGGTCAACTTTTCATGGTGCAAATGGGGCACGTTTACCCATGCAGGGTTATGGTATAGCCTCGGCTGGTTCAGTCCATCTGTCTCGCTCGTTATATGTTCCCCAGCTTGTTCCCAACTTAGTCTCGGTCGGTAATTAGCAGAGGATGGGTTTGAGGTCAAGTTTAATTCAGTGGGCTGTGTTGTGTAAGATTAGAGGACGGGGAAGGTAATAGGGAAAGGAAGTAAACATAGGAGGATTTTCATGTTGGATGAACTTCAAGAGCATACGAGGGAGGGATCCACACGTGATGAAAGGTGAACGAGTCTTGCAGAGTTTGAAGATGACAATATGGACGAGCATGTGGGTTCAGTTCAAGATTGTTGCCTTTTGAATAGTTCTGATTTGGATTTTTCAGATTTGACGTTTTCAGATTGTATGAATTCTAGGTCCGCTGGCTGTATGGGATATTCGGTTAAGCCTTTGGATTTTTTGGTAAAGTTTTCTACTTGGGATTTATGGCATTGTCATTTGGTCCATCCGCATTCAGCTCGTTTAATGACTATGTTTTGTCGTAATCTGCTTCCAGATAAGTTCGATTTGAGATTTATTTCTCACGCATCTTGTGTTAGTTGTATTAAGGCTAACGCGCATCAAATATCATTCTCATCAAGTGATAGTGTGTATGAAAATTCATTTGATTTGCTGCATTCTGACTTATGGGGGACATCACCAGTGACCGGACGTTTGGGGTATCAGTATTTTACACTATTCATAGATCACGCTACAAGGTTTACGTGTATATTCTTTCTTAAATAGGAATCTGAGTTGACATTGCCAAAAACTTTGTACAAATGGTGAGGACGCATTTTCAAAAGACTATCAAGGTGCTTAGATATGATCTTGAGGGAGAGTTAACGTCCCATGATATGCTAACGTTCTATGAATCCGAAGGAATTCTACCTCAGGAGTCATGCCCAGCATTATCGCAACAGAATGTTCTTGTAGAATGCAAGCATCGCCATGTGCTAGAACTTACTTGAGCTCTCTATTATTTCACTCCCATGTTCCGACATGGTTTTGGGTGGAATCGATTTGTATTGTTGTTCACCTCTTAAATCGCCAGATTACACCTTTATTGGGTCAAATTTTGCCATACCAGTCACTTTTTGGAAAGGTACCCAAGTACTCGGATCTTCGTGTGTTCGACTGTGCTTGTTTTGTCTTGCTTCCTAAAAGTAAACGACACAAGCTCCAATCGAAAATAGCTCGTTGCGTTTTTATGGGATTTAGCAATAAACATAAATGATACTTTTTTATTATCCAGTGCAGCGCCGTATGAGAATCTTGTGTCATGTAGTCTTCTTAGAACATGTAATGTCCTACTCCATGAACAAAGACGACTTACCTGCCACAGATTCTTTTGATTTTCTCACATCTCTACCTTAGTTTGATGGTGTGCCTCCCGTCCTTGGGATGCAAAATGATGATTCAAGTCAGAGTTCATCCTCGTCTGGATCATTCTCTTCTACATCTGGGTCAGCCTCTAGTTCGTCCAACTCATCGTCATCAGGAGATACCAGTCCCGACTCGAGTAATTCTACCACCGGTTCAGGAAACTCCTCTCCTGGTTCTATACACTCGTCCTCCCAGCACTCAAACTAATACTCGAGTGATTCTGAGCTTTCTCCGCCTGTGCAAGCACAAGTTCCTCTTCGTCGGCCACAGCAGGCAAATCTTGGCAAACCTCGTCCTTGCATGGATGATTATGCAGGCTTCTTGATAACACCAATTATTATTCCCTCATCCTATGCAGAGGCTAAAGGGGATCCTAATTGGGATGGAGATCTGGAGGTGGAGATAGGAGCACTTGAGGCGAATCACACGTGGGATCTTGTTCCTCGTGAACCTAATATGTTGATCATTGGTAGTAGGTGGGTTTACGCAATTAAGATGCATTCTGATGGCTCCCTAGAGCGACTCAAAGCTTGGGTAGTGGCAAAAGATTTTTGGCAATAATTTGGTGTAGATTATTACAAGACTTTTGCTCCAATGGTCAAGATGAAAACAATACGATGTGTCTTTGTAGTAGCATCATTGCAAGAATGGTCATTAATTCAATTAGATGTGAAAAATGCATTTCTTCATGGTGACCTCAAGAAGAATATATATATGGAAAGAACTCCTGAATATACGAAAGGTGGTGCATGTATGGTTTGTAAATTGGTACGATCACTGTATGGATTCAAGCAGGAACCCGAGGCTTAATTGGTTTGAAAAATTCCATGGTATTATTGCTCAGGAGTGATTTGTGCATAGCCAGAATGATCCCTGTTTATTCGTCAAATTGTCGATGGGATTGTAGTAATTCCGATCTACATGGATGACATGGTGGTTACAGGAAGCGATACACAGGGGATTAAAGAAGTGACCGCATTTGCATCATTTTATTGTGCGTTCGATCTCAAGAAGTTGGGAGATGTTGAATATTTCCTGGGTTTGCAGGTAAAGCAGCCACCTCATGGCTTGTTTGTCTGCCTAGAAGAAATATATTCAAGATCTATTAGCAATGGCACAGTATAATAAGTGTATTCCTTGCTCAACACCCATGGAGCAGAACCCGCGGCTAACACGGGAAAGTGGAGATTTGTTCGAAGATAAGACAACTTACAGGAGTTGGTTGGAAGTCTCATCTATCTAAGTCGTATGCGGCCTGGTATATGTTATGCGGTTCAAGTTGTGAGCCAGTATATGGGGATGGCAAGGACCATACATTTAGATGCTATTCACCAGTTGCTGAGGCATTTGAAGCAAACACAAGAGGTTGGCATTTTTTCCCCTTCTATTGGAGAGCCATAGATTGGTGATGCAGATTATGCTGGCTGCAAGGACACAAGTCATTCCACTTTTGGATGGTGTGTGCGGGTAGGAAAGTCATTTGCGTCTTGGCATTGTCGCAAATTGGATAGTGTGTCGCAATCGTCTACTGAGGCAGAATATCATTCGATGTGAAAGAGCTCTCAAATGGTTTGATTGTTCCGGCTACTCAAGGGGCTTAGTGTCACATGTCAGGTCTCGATGAGGATTTATGGGGATAACACAA